TAACTATCTTATAGGAAGGAAAGAACAAGGAAATAGATGCACGTGACTTAATGACTGAACAACAAAAGATATAAAAATTATATGACAAAATGACTGCTGAAGAAGCCATACACAAGCAATGTGGGTTCAATTACTTTCCCAACCCCCGTGCCTGGGAACAGCCAGGTCTTCAAGGCTTTCTGAAACATCAGCAGGTCAGGATCACGGTAATCTTGAGAGGTATGGTCTTCTAGAGGCAGGAACAACTGACTGCTAGATGACAGTCCCTTATTGATGGGACTCAGAGGATGCCCCTCTTGACCAGCCTAATAGAATGGGTAGAAACAGTGGGAGTAAGTCCCTTACATTTGGCCCTTAAGCATCCTACATTGACTATGTTTTTAGCTGCGTATAGTACAATATTTAAGTACAGTACTAAAACATTTTTATGCTAACTTCACCAAAGCTGAAGTTAAATATAGGTCTTAAAAGCATATTATTAGTTCTTAATGGATCCTAGCATCTTCTTGTCTCATTTGCAGAAGAGATGGGAAAATGAGCGCCTCTTGCAGGCCAAGAAGAAAGCTTGTGAAGAGGAGAACCTGTATGAGGTAAGTCAATGGAATGTAGGCATATTGCAGAAGCAAAGGAGATGAAGTAATGTTATATATAACAGTGGAAATAGGAATTCCAACTAGCAGACCTATTCTACTATCTACTCCTAATTCTGACACAGGAATACATAGATAGTGTAGCATGATCGTGCTATGGAGAGGGTGCACTAGAGGGATCCCTGATAGATATTCATAAATGGAAAAACAATGGAAGGTATTTTTCCAATAGGAAAGATGTTAGTTTCCACTTGGTCTTATTTTTATTGTATATGCTGTATTTGCAGTCCATGCTTAGTAATCTAAGGTTAGACCAGCTTGCTTGGGATTTTAGCCGTAACTTCCTCAGTACATGACCTTCAAAATAATGAGCTCTTTGTCTTCTCCTTTTAGGGACTGAATCTGGATGACTGCTCAATGTATGAGGACATCTCCAGGGGTTTACAAGCTACCTACCAAGATATAGGCAATGTCAAAGTGATTGATTTACAGCTAGAGAAACCAGAGAAACCATGATAAAATGGTCACTTCATAGTCATTTTCTAGAGTTTATTGAAAATGGTTATTTTAAATTTTTTCTTGATTTCTCTTGCTGATAATGTGTATATATGTGATGGTGAAGGGATTCAATATTTTCCTATTTTTAAAGAATAATAATTTGTATAAGTTTTAATCTTCAGTAGGGAAGTGAGCTCTGCATTGTCGAAAATTGGCTTGAATAGAATCCTGCAAATGAAATAAGCAAAAAGATATCCTTTGATTCTTCCAAACAAAATATTCTGATAATATATATTCATTTGGTATTTCTTAATTCTCTTTATGATTCCTGATTACCAATATTTTAAAAGAAGCATCACTCTGAGATTCTGAAACATATGGTTAAATGAAACAATGGTTAAATAGTACCTTCAGTGACATTTACGATTGATTCGTTCCTTGTGCTTGCTTTCAACTTCTCAGTTTGTGTGAAAAGAGGCGTGTCTATAAACCATATTTGTATTCATTTCAAATTAATATTTTCTAAGTTGAACATTTAAAAGATTATCTCATATTTGTAAAAAAAACTTTGCTGTGGATGGTGTTTATTGTGTAATATGTATGCTCTCACTAGGGAAACAAAGAAAAATGTACTCACACATCCCAGCATTTAAAGTAGCTGCATATAAGCCTGGTAAAATAAAATAAACAAATGTCTCATTTTCCCTGCAAGAACATAAATGGATAAAAGTATTTATGGTGCTTCATATGAAGAAATAAGACAGAAGAGGCGGCCTAGGAAGTCCAGCAACAGGTCTATATTCTCTTTGGTAAAACATTGACTCTTATGACATCTGCAAAAAAAATTTAAAAAGAAAAGGCCGGAATGACGTGGACGAATAAGCCACTGCAATGTTTCTCCTCACTGTTTATTTGCCATTTTAATGCTTTCCCATTCTCTAAGGGAAAATACAGCTTTATATATACTGCAGACTTGTGAATAAAAAGCCTTTTCCTCATTTTCTTCACAGAGCAAAGAGTAGCAAAACAAGTGATAAGGTTTGTGGTTGTGGGATAAATTCCAAAGACAATGGATTTTGGTTTTCGTGGGCATCAACAGCTTTCATGGGATAATTCTTCAACACTTGGCAACATTTTTAATCCAAGCCCTGTTGTAATCCTAACTTAAATTTCCCTCTTTCTGATTGTGAATTAGGATTTTAATAAACTAAACTTTATGACTCAGAATCTATGGCTTTGATATATTGTTCATTGAAGATGTCTTAGATTACTCATATCAAAAAATACCTCATAATTTATATTTTATTTATGTATTTAGTAGCATTGCTACAGGCAGTTGGTCAACATGTCAAGCTTGATGAAGACTAGGCTTGACTTGGAGCATTGCTTTCTAAGACTTAGCCAGGGAGTCTGTCTTGAGCAAAATGCTTTAAAAAATGAAATATAAAAGTAATCAAAAATACAACCTTAAACATCTTATAGACTTGAGACTGACTACTGAGTGAACATGTGTAGTACCTTTGTATGCTCTTTAGTTTGCTTTCTTTAGTTACAGAAATATCAAACTAAATAAAAACAAGTAGCCAATACTGGTTACTAAATACCTTGGCAAGTGAACGTGTAGATCTAAAGTATTAACAAGTGTTGCCTTTGTGTGTGATATCAAGTTGCGTGAGAGACCACACATATACATACACTGTAACCCTGTTGGCATATGTGTACACACCCTGCCATTCTATAGTTCTTCAAAGCACCAAGTCATGAGATATCAGGAAAGTAACCATGGTTCTCTTCACCTCTAAAAGATACACATTACACTCCCAAAGCCACAGTACTTTAACTCAAGATCTGACAGATCCAATACAGGCAAAGGTTATGGCTAAACCTGAATGTTTTGCCCTAAGAACCACCTCAGGAAAACAGACAATTTTCACTAGGAAAATGGAAATATACCACTGCACTAAAATCTAACAAACACCACTATAGAATATTAAACCTTTCCAAAAAAAAAAAAAAGGAAGGAAAAAACAGTTTGGATTGGCTTTTGTTGCAGGTATGCTTTGAGAAAAGTATCATTTAGCAAATGTAAAAAGTTTGACAGGATATAGAGGTGAGATGTTATATGCAAATACACATACTAAAAATAGAAGATTTTCTTGAGCCAAAATATTTAGGCAGTTGCAATTGCTCTAATTTTTTCTCTGGCACATTTTCTCTGGTAACTTTGTTCAGTATAATATACATATCTGACTTGTCTGTGTTGATTCACTTGTGAGTGGACATTACAAATAAGACACCAAAGCTTTTCTCACACTCCATAAACAAAATACAGCCTCTGTCATGTATGTGTCCGCTTGTGAGTGGCCAGGCTTGCTGATTGGCTAAAGCTTTTCCCACACTCCCTACAGGAATATGGCCTCTCTCCTGTATGTGTCCGCTTGTGAGTGGCCAGGCTTGCTGATTGGCTAAAGCTTTTCCCACACTCCCTACAAGAATACGGCCTCTCTCCTGTATGTGTCCGCTTGTGAGTGGCCAGGCTTGCTGATTGGCTAAAGCTTTTCCCACACTCCCTACAAGAATACGGCCTCTCTCCTGTATGTGTCCGCTTGTGAGTGGCCAGGCTTGCTGATTGGCTAAAGCTTTTCCCACACTCCCTACAGGAATATGGCCTCTCTCCTGTATGTGTCCGCTTGTGAGTGGCCAGTGTTGATGATAGGCTGAAGCTTTTCCCACACTCCCTACAGGAATACGGCCTCTCTCCTGTATGTGTCCGCTTGTGAGTGGCCAAGTTTGCTGATTGGCTAAAGCTTTTCCCACACTCCCTACAGGAATATGGCCTCTCTCCTGTATGTGTCCGCTTGTGAGTGGCCAGTGTTGATGATTGGCTAAAGCTTTTCCCACACTCCCTACAGGAATATGGCCTCTCTCCTGTATGTGTCCGCTTGTGAGTGGCCAGTGTTGATGATTGGCTAAAGCTTTTCCCACACTCCCTACAGGAATACTGTACACATTTATGTGAATATGGCTTTCCTCTGTGTGTCTGATTGTGAGTAACCAGCTGAAAATGGTTTTTTCCATTGTTTTTATGATTCTTATGCTCTGCTTCTTCATTTCTGTCTTTCAAAAAAAGCGCTTCATCATCTTTACCTTTGTTCACATTGCTTGGCATTATATCTTGTACCATGGCTTGGTAGGAAGTATCACTTCTTATTCTGGGTAGTGATTTTTCTGTAAGTATTTTTTCTGGTTCTTCAGCATGTATTATAAATCCAGAATGCTTCCATTTCATATGTCGGGTGAGATAATCTTTGCAAGTAAAAGCTGTCTCACAACTGGGACACTGATGGCAAACTATTTGTTGCTTCTTCACCAAGTATGAATTCTGTCTGTAAACTATTTGCAAAGAAAACACAGAATTATTGGCAAACATATATAGGATTAATTCACTGAGGAATCTGCTGCCAGTTATATTTTCTACCTAGGAAGAATTTCTTTTTGACAGCCCGGCAACAAAAAAAGGAGAGTTTGGAGTTTACTTCTTTCACATTAAAGAGTTCACCATTTTATTCTATCAATGCTTATTATATAATTATATTGTTTGCAATTACCAGTGCAGTATAAAAGATGAGATTTAGAAATACAGTAAAGGTAATTTTTAATTCTTCCAAGGCATAACTTATTTTTTGGAAGGTTTTGCCAAGATGTTAAAACTATATTTGAGCTTTGCTGAAATCGGGTCTATACATACAACAGAATCAAATGGTAGATTGGGCTGAATAATCTGAATTTGCAAGGTCCCCTTGTGAAGATTACATTAAAAATATATTATAAATGTATCCCTGTAAACAGATAACTAATTATGAACAAGAATACCATCTCATTAAATTTTATTTTCTTCATGGAAAAATATTAAAAAGGCATCCCTACTTATGGCCTCAAATAGTATTATCTAGTTTTTATTCTGTTGATGAACCAACATACAGTATCTCATAGTATAAGTGTCAAATCTGGTTAAGGCAGAAAAGGAGATGAAAATAATATAGTTGTAGTAAAAAAGATTTCACAAAAACTGGTAATGTGTAGGGCCAAATAGATGGAGCATGTATTTCTCCTCCTATCATTGTTAAAGTAGCTTTCAATACCTGTGTTTGAGAGAAA